TTGCTTCTAAGTACTTCATTCGAGTTTGATACAATTGATTCAGTAATCTCCTTTGTGGCTTTTTGTCCCTCGTCCAAGATACAGTCCAGGATCAACCACTGCATCTAACTTTCATGTCTCCGTAGTTCCTTTCATGTGGAATGGTTCTTCAGCCTTTCTAGGTATTTCTTGGCCCAGTGTTTTTGAAGAATACAGGCTAGTTATAGACTGTCCCTCAATTTGGGTTTGCCTGATGTTGCCTCATAATTAGATTACAGTTATGCATGTTTAGCAGAAATCTGCCAGAATGAGATTGTGTCCCCTACCTTGCATTGGAAGTGTCTAATATTGGTGATATTAACTGCTGCTCAGATAATGTGGTATTCTCTGAGTTATTACACTTTAAAATGATTTTCCTTTGTTATTAATAAGCTGTTTGTGTTAATAAGTTATTGTGGAGTAAGTCCCTTTGAGACCATGTAAATACCCTATTTTTAATGAAACATTACCCCATTATCTTTAGCATCTACAGATACAAATTAAAGTTTACTGTTTGCTTAGTAGTGTAATTCAGTGACTCAGTGACTTTTGACCCACACACCCTCTAAATAAAGAACATTTCCATTATCCCCCAAAATTACCTCATACTCTTTCCCAGCCCATTCCCACCTTGAGAAACAACTGATTTAGTTGTTTGTTTAATCAAAAATTAGTTTTGTCTGATTTAGAACACTGTGTAAATGAAGTCCCACGATGTTGTTATGCACCTAGCTTCTTTCAGCACGTCTGTGAGATTCATCTGTTTCTTGTGTCTTGTGTATCAGTAGTCCACTCTTTTTTACTGCTGAGTAGTATTTCATAGTATGGACACCATAATTTGTTTATCAGTTCATCTGCTAATGAACATTATGGCTGTTTCTAGTTTGAGGTTATGATGAATTAAGCTTCTTGACATTTAAATACATATGGTTTTTAGACATACTTCACATTATATGTGAACAGGTGGATGTGTTTCATTGCTGTGGGTCAATAGCTAGAATAGAATTGTTGGGTTATATATAAAACTCCCAAAGCATTTTCTAAAGTCCTTGTACCATTTACAGTTTCATCAGCCATGTATTAGAGTTTCTGTCTCTCTCTATCCTTGCTAGCCCTTAGTAATTGTCAGTATTTTTAAATTTAGCCATTCTGATCCTTATATAGTGGTTCTTCATTTGTGGTTTAATTAGCCTTTTTTCCCCAATGGCTAAGTGATATTGAACTCTCTTCTATGTGTTTACTGGCTTTTCATATATCTTTATTTGTGAAGTGTCTGTTTAAATCTTTTGCCCATTCTTTTTTGTTGGGGTAAATTATACATAACAAAGTTTACCATTTTAATCATTTAAATGTACGGCTCAGTGGCATTAAGCAAATTCGTATTATTCAGCCTGTCACCACCATCTATCTCCAGAACATTTTTCGTCTTCTCAAATTGAAACTCTGTACCCATTAAACTGTAAGTCCCCGTTACCCTATCCATTCCTAGCCCCTGGTCACTGACCACTGTTCTGTTTTCTGTCTTTGTGAATTTGACTATTCTAGGTACCTCATATACATGGAATCCTACAGTATCTGTCCTTTTGTGACTGGCTTATTTCATTTATTGTAATGTCTTCAAGGTTCATCCATGTTACAGGATGTTTTAGAATTTCATTCCAAAGGCTGAATAATATTCCATTGTATGTCCCTACACATTGTATTTCTTCATCCACTGATGAACATTTTGGTTGTTTCTACCTTTTGGTTGTTGTGAATACTACTGTGGACATTAATATACCTGCCCATTTTTCATGGGTTGTCTGTTGTTTTATTATTGAATTATTTATAAATTATGACTAGAAGTCCTTTGTCAGATACCTGTTTTACAAATATTTACTCCCGGTCTGTTGTTTCCCTACTTGTTTTCTTAACTGTCTTTTAATTACCAAAAATCATTAATCCTGGTGAAGTCTAATTTATAATTTTAAAATTTTTAGGGCTACTTCTTATGTCCCATGAAATCTTTATCTACCTCTACCTTAAAAATTCTTTTATATTTTTAATCCTGAAGATTTATCATTTGAGCGGTTACTTTTAGGTTTGTGAAAGACCTTAAATCTTTTCATGCATATAGTGGGAGGTAGGCTAGATTCAGGATTATTTCCCCCCTAAGGATAGCCTGTTATTCCAGCACCATTTGTTATGCATTTTCCTTTCCTTGTTGAATTTCTTTGGTTCCTCTGTCAAAAATTCAATTAACCATGTAAGTGTGATTCTATTTCTGGATTCTGTTCAATTACATTGGTCTATTTTTCTGGTCTGTACCAACAGCACACTGCCTTCCACCTTTTTACAGTAAACCTTGGAGTCAGATGGCATAAGTTGTCCAACTCTTCTCTTCTTTCTCAAGATGTTCTTAGTTATTCTGTGGCCTTTGAGTTTCACCATAAATTTGGAAGTAGGTTTTTCAGTGTCTATTAAAATAAAAAACAGCTGGCTGGAATTAGGATTGATATTGCATTGAATTGATAGATAAATTTAGGGAGAATTGATACCTTAACAAAACTGAGTCTTTCATTACATGAATATGGTGTATCTTTGCATTTATTAAGCCTTCATTAATTTCTATCGGCAATATTTTGTATTTTTCAGAATAGAGATTTTGTGCCTCTTTTGTTAAATTTATTTCCGAGTATTTGGTTTTTTTCATTCCCTTGTTTACTTCTAATGTATGAAATACAATTGATTTTTGTATAATGATGTTATATTGCACAACCTTGCTAAATTTACCTATTCTGGTGGTTGCTTTATAGATTCCTTGGAAGTTTCTGTGTAGATAATCCTGTTATCTGCAAAGAGAGGCAGTTTTGCTTCTTTCTTTCCAATCTTTATATCTTTTCTTTTTCTTGTCTGTTGCACCCGCAATATTCCTTGAAATGAATTCTGTTGTGTCTGTTACTGGATTTGCCTAATTCAGCTTTTGTCTGCCTGGTATTTACATAATTTATCTATGTTCATCCTTTTACTATAAATATATCTGAGTCTTAAAGCATATAGGTGTTTTTTGGTTTGGGTTTTGTTCATTTGTTTGTTTAGTCTGTCAACGTCAGCCTTCAAAATTGTGTTTGGTCCACTTAATTTAATGTAATTATTGCTGTAGCTAGATTTAAGTCTATCGTTTTTATCGTTTGTTTTCTGTTAGTCCCATCTGTTTTTGTCTCCTCTTAGTTTCTTTTCTCTGGTGAGTTTTTCCTCTTTCATTCATTATGACTACATTTGTCTCTATGGCGTTGAACATATTTATAGTACCTGCTTTAATGTTATTTATTTATTTATTTTTCACTAATTTTTTGCTAATATCTGGGTCATTTGGGTCTTCTTCTATAGACTCGGGTCACATTTTCTTCCTCCCACCCCCCTTTATTTCTGTTAATTTTCATTGTTGATAACGTCTTGTAGCTCCTCTGCATTTTCTCATCTTCCTCTGCAAGTTCTTGATTCTTGTACTAGCAGGCAGTTAACATGCCTGAACTCAAACACTGCCTGTCCTTCTTTCAGCTTTAAGGCTATTGCTCTCACCAGGGCACTCTAGAATCTTCCCAGAGTGTGCATGCATAGTTCAGGGTCATACAGTGTTTAGTTGGGGTTTATACACACATTTCAAGGCTCACTTCTCCGCAGCTCTTTCTTTTGCACAGACTGTTGAGTGCCTGCGGGTGAAAAGCCACATGAAAGCAAACCTTACCTGGTGAGATTTCCTCTCCAAAGGGCCACCTTCACTCTAGTTTCTGCCAGCTTTTAGTCAATTTCTAGTGCCTTTAAAAATTGGAGGGAGAGGCTCCTTCCCAGGATGTATAAATGTTATAGTTCTCTAATATAAGAGAGAATTATTTTAGTGTATATAAAGTATGAATACATCTACAAGGTTACTTAGTAAAATGTGTATCTCAGAGTAGGTAGGATTTTTTTTTTTGGTTGTTTAAAATTATCCACATTGAATATGTAATATGGTTATGATCAAACAAAAAAAGTTATTTAAAAATGTGATAGGAAATAAATTGATTTCAGAAATCTCTTGCTCTCGCTTACATTTTAAATTATGAAGATTCCCAAAAGTGGCTAATTGTCATTTTAAATAGATTATCAATATTTAATTTTCCCAGAGTAGCTTTCAGATTTGGCTAATAATATAGTATATTTTAAGTCTGTATTTCAGAACTTACCAACACAGAGTCTCTACACTTGATCGTAGCCAAAAGACCGAGAAGCGATCCAACACAAAGTCTCTTACTACTACTTTCTGTGCAGGTAGCTCTGTGAAATTTCATTCCTTTGTTTTTGTTGATTAACCTACAACAAACACACAGGTAATCATTTAATAGCTAGTGTGAACAATGAATACTGATTAAAAGGCAGCTGTCAGAAAAATAAAGTCTAGGGGCGCCTGAGTGGCTCAGTCGTTAAATGTCTGCCTTGGGCTCAGGTCATGATCCTAAGGGTCCTGGGATCGAGCCCCACATCGGGCTCCCTGCTCGGCGGGAAGCCTGCCTCTCCCTCTCCCACTCCCCCTGCTTGTGTTCCCTCTCTCTCTGTCTCTCTCTGTTGAATAAATAAATAAAATCTTAAAAAAAAAGAAAAGAAAAAGAAAGTCTATGGATAGCATAAATGTGACATGTCTTGCCAAAAATACCCTGTTCATCTTAAGTTTAAAGAGTGAGTTTAAAGAAAATTTAGTTTTAAGAAAAACATACTATATATGCAAAGATTTTAATAGAATTGTAAAGTATTAGCTTGAAGTGACAGTCATATTGCCAGGCATAATTAAGTGAGAAAAGAAAACAATTAAAACTATTATTTTAAGAGCTAGAGCCTACTCATCAATTGCATTAAATAGAATTGCATCAGAAGGTCTGTTCATCATGTCTGTATAGCAAAATAAGAATGTTTGGCATTTTTCTTCCAAATACCTAGTTTAACTTTACATGTAAATTATATAATAGATGTTGAAGAAAATGAAGATACTGGAGCAACATCCCTGCCAACTCAGCCGCCTCAGCCGTCATCTTCGACTTACGACCCAGGCAACATGCCATCCAGCAGCTTCTCTGGCATACAGATTCCTCCCGGCGCGCACGCTCCAGCTAACACACCAGCGGAAGTGCCTCACAGCGCAGGTAGGAAATTGAAGCTTAACGAGTTTTGAACTCTCCTTTCATAAATAAGGACTGCACTTTTTATTGTGTTTATGCCTGAGCGTGATGGTCATGAAGCATAATAAGATCTTTAAATTCTATTTGAACCTACAAAAAATGTTCAGTCCTTTTTGTTTAAGTTTTATTGTTGTTTGTCCTTTAGTTTTTTGAGAGGTGACCAAACATTTACATATGTTACTATTAACTTTATATTTTATTACTAAGAATAGCTTCTGTGCTTTTCGTGTGTGGTACTGTTTTCTCTTTCTTCCCCTCCCTTTCTTTGCCCTTCACTGTCCAAGATTAGCACTGAGTTGTGCGGATCTATCATGGTATGTGTTGGTCAGCGTCCCACTGTGTCAGCAAGATTTGATTTTTCTTGCCTATTTCCTTAGGACCTCTGCCCTCAACATAGATATTATTGATGAAGGGAGCAGGCATTGAGGCAGAAAATCTCAATAGCAGTGGAATCACAACCAAAAAGAGGGGGTGTGGGTTATTTCTTTTAATATTATAAACAGTTGACTGAAGAAAAGAAAGGGAAGTGATAGCTACTGTCTTTGAATAAATCAATACTGTATGTCTGTGTTTTCATGGAAAAGATCTAACAACACTAGTCTCTAGTAATGAGTCAGTGTCAGTAAATGAAAGATAATTTTTAAAATTGCAGACAGATACTCTTCCATTTACTTGTATTGTTGACAAAGTGTCATCCTTACCTTGAAATAGAAGGGCATTTAAAGCCATAATTTACATGTTGAAGTTTTTCCAAAAATTGTTCTTAAAATACTTCTTTTATCTCAGCATAAATGTAATCTATGGTAGTAAACCATACAAACGTTTCAAAATATTTAATTCATAGGATGAAAGTCATTCTTTGAGCCCTCATTTCTGCGGTTTCTGTTAAGTACCACACCATTACTTCACTGACTTTAAGATTTTCAGCCTCAGTTTACCCAAACCATTTTAGCTTATTTTGCATGAGTTGAATAACATTTAAAAGTTTTCTGTTTGACTGTTATAGCACCAATTATTATTAATTTCTTTCCTCCTATTTTAAAACTTTTAACTTTATATTATCTACAAATATTACTGTTATTTTTGTCTTGAAGAATATTGATGAATATGATTTTAACACTGATCTCTTTTGTGTCATCATTCTGTATATTTTACTCTGACTTTGCTTTGCTTTATGGTCTGTATGATGAGTTTAATAGACCAATTTGAGTTTGTTTTGTAAGTAAAATTTCACAGAACACTGTTATAAATATTTTATTTTCTTACAGAAATATTCAGTATTTCCAGTGTAGAATAATATAAGCAATACCAGCTACTTAGATGTATTTGCCTTAGATAAATACTACTCTATTCTATTGAATTTAAACACTAACCAGGAGCTCCTGACACACTATTTTTATAGAAGGGCAAAGTGTGAATAAAATGTATTTTGAAGTCAAATAGTATTGGTTATTAGTTCCTGCCCCTTGCTAAACCCCAAACTCAGATGTTATTCAGCTTCTCAGTCTAGGTTTTGCCTCTTTCTAAAATGAAATTAACCATACTTCTCATAGTGATTTTAATTATTAAAGGAGAAAAAATTTGAAAATTCACTACTACTGTGCCTAATCACAAAATCAGTGTTCAGCAAATTAGCTTCCTTTTCCTTTTTTTTTTTTTTTCTCTCTTCCTTCCTATCTCTGTGCCAAAGACAGGGTATTTAAGAGCAAGCTAATGAACACTTAAAATCATTTTGTGAATCAAGGGAAGTGTCACCTTTGGGGGTAGGATATTGACCTTAAAAAAAAGTTGCCTAAAGGGTACCATGTTAGACAATTTATCTTAGGGCAGAATTCTGATACAGGCACCTATATACATATATTTTATATATAGTCATACAGTGTGTGTATAGAAGAGAGAAAGCTTACTTCTGGGAGGGCTGTATTCGGATGAACCATATGAAATTGCTGCTTTTATATAACATAAGTGATAAAATCTTAGTAGTTTCTTATGTTCAAACTAATAGACCGTTATCTCCTGCTTAGAATATCTTTGACATACATAAACAGATATTGAGGAGGTAGTCTTCTATTAGAAAGTTTTCTGGCATGAACAGTTCATCTTTCTCCAATTAACTCTGGCATGAGCCTTATTTTTTTTTCTTTTTTGTTCCTCAGAGTGAGCACATAAAACTAAAAACCTTGAAACTTTTTTAGGGTGAGGTCCCATCTTGTTGCTTTATTTTTTTTTAATATTTTTTTTTTTTATTTATTTAT